TTGGAGGGTGTGTGTGTGTGTGTGTGTATGCAGGTTTCATTGATTAGAGGCTTGAAATGTCCTTTATCTTCTTTTTTGCTCCCAAGTGGCACCTATTACAGCATACTTCATCTCTTAATAACTGTGGTAATTAAGTGAGCAATTATCTCTAACAAGCCTCTTCAGATTTGCATCTAAACACAACAAAGACCCACTCAAAGCTTTTTTTCCCCGTTTTGTTTTATCAAATCTTTTAATATGGCAGAAATGCATTTTCTGATAAGGGTTTTATAATAGTATTTATAGCAGTTGTGTGCAGTACACAGCATTATGATGATACAGTATTGGATGTGATCTGTTTCAAAAACATGAATAACAGAATATTGTGGTCAGTTATTTTCAGACAATGTTGTGAAATGACTTATAAGCTCATCTTGTGTTGTTTTATCTCAAAGAGGCACAGATTGACATTTTTATTAACTGTTCTTTTTCAGGTCAGTATGTAATGATATGGCTCTTGTGTGTATTTGGGGAATAACATTTCTTATTATCTTACTTCTAAAGCATATTCATAATACATTGTGACACCAGCTGTACACCTAAAGTAGGATAACCAGCAGTGTCTGGAAATATAAAGCAACATGTTTATGTCGCCTTCAGTTGGGCTCCAAAATTCTGAGACCATGCACATTCAAAATCTTGCATTCAAAATCTAATAAAAAAACCTTGAAATAAACTTTTTTTTTTTTTTTTGGAAAATGGATAAGAAATACTGAAACATTGGTTCTGCTCTATTTCTAGGTCACGTAAGGTCAAATAAGAAAATCAAATGTGTGACACTGATGATGTGACTCCTTACAGACGGTGAGATGTTCTTGCTTTCGTTGAAGCATAAGATGTTTTGGATCTTTCTCAAACAATGAAGCTTTTGAACATGATCGTCAGGTTTTCACAATAATTTTTTCCATTCAACCTTTTATTCAATTTGTTATGTGGATAAATATTATTTCTTATAAAATTCTAATTTTGCATTTCACTATGGTTTCACACTTTTGGAGCCCAACTTTCAATTTCTTTGAAAATTAATAAAGATTACTTCAATAAAATATTCTAATTGAAATTTCACTTTTTGTGATTACTGAGATTGATAAGGACTCAGAAAATATGTAGGCCTAAATGTATTCCGACTGTATGAAAGTGGTTTACCCTAAAATATCAGTTTCAAATTATTCTGAGAAACAGGTATATGATTTCAATAATTAACTGAATGTGTTTTAAACTTGGAGGGTGTGTGTGTGTGTGTGTGTATGCAGGTTTCATTGATTAGAGGCTTGAAATGTCCTTTATCTTCTTTTTTGCTCCCAAGTGGCACCTATTACAGCATACTTCATCTCTTAATAACTGTGGTAATTAAGTGAGCAATTATCTCTAACAAGCCTCTTCAGATTTGCATCTAAACACAACAAAGACCCACTCAAAGCTTTTTTTCCCCGTTTTGTTTTATCAAATCTTTTAATATGGCAGAAATGCATTTTCTGATAAGGGTTTTATAATAGTATTTATAGCAGTTGTGTGCAGTACACAGCATTATGATGATACAGTATTGGATGTGATCTGTTTCAAAAACATGAATAACAGAATATTGTGGTCAGTTATTTTCAGACAATGTTGTGAAATGACTTATAAGCTCATCTTGTGTTGTTTTATCTCAAAGAGGCACAGATTGACATTTTTATTAACTGTTCTTTTTCAGGTCAGTATGTAATGATATGGCTCTTGTGTGTATTTGGGGAATAACATTTCTTATTATCTTACTTCTAAAGCATATTCATAATACATTGTGACACCAGCTGTACACCTAAAGTAGGATAACCAGCAGTGTCTGGAAATATAAAGCAACATGTTTATGTCGCCTTCAGTTGGGCTCCAAAATTCTGAGACCATGCACATTCAAAATCTTGCATTCAAAATCTAATAAAAAAACCTTGAAATAAACTTTTTTTTTTTTTTTTGGAAAATGGATAAGAAATACTGAAACATTGGTTCTGCTCTATTTCTAGGTCACGTAAGGTCAAATAAGAAAATCAAATGTGTGACACTGATGATGTGACTCCTTACAGACGGTGAGATGTTCTTGCTTTCGTTGAAGCATAAGATGTTTTGGATCTTTCTCAAACAATGAAGCTTTTGAACATGATCGTCAGGTTAAGTACAATACTCAAGTAAATGTACTTAGTTACTGTCCGCCTCTGTGTATAATCAATAATTTCTTGCAATCTCATATATGTTGACTAACTCAGTAATTTCCACCATATTTTAAACATGCTCATATATTTTAAATGTTTAAATTAAACTGATTCTATGATGCTATGATGCTGAAGCAATTTCAACACATACATTAAAATATGAATATTTAAATAAAATCAAATGGAAGCAAATAGTTAATAATAAGCTTTGGACTGAAATAAGTCTTAGACCACCTGTTTCATTAATTACATTAGTTACATTTATTAGTTCATGTTCATGTTCAAACTGTGTAGTCCAAATGGATAGGGATTTTATATGCGATTCAAATGCTTATTTCTTAAATTTAGGCCTAAATATTTTTTGAGTGGTATACGAAAATAAAATAAGGTCATGTCCTATGCATATTAATTCTGATGCTATAAAAAGGTTCGTATGAAATTAAATGAGGTCAACACTCCTCAATTTGACCTGGAATCCCGCAGCAGTCGCTCAGTGTTGTGGAGGTGAAGGGCATCAGGTCCAGGGAAATCTCCATCTCTCCCTCCTGCTGCTCTAGGGCGGGCAGCAGCACGTTCCGCTGGATACGAGACGAACCGGACACGACCGAGACCTTGTCAAAAGGTAAGTCCACGTGCTCGCCATGACCGGGGACCAGAACCAGGCACTGGGGGTTGGAAGCGCCTTGCGCGTCCTTGTGGAGCTGAGTGGTGTCGTGATGGTAGGACACCAGCTCGTTGGTGAAGTTCACTGTCTCCACAGCAGAAGATGCGCAGAGTCGATTGCAACCCAGAATAGTGGTGAAGGCTTTGCGGAAATCCGCGTTGAACGCGTAGATGACCGGGTTGAGCGATGAATTGGCCCATCCGAACCACACGAAGATGTTAAAAGTGGTGCTGCTCACGCACAGAGAGTCTCCAAGAGTGTCCAGGTCACAGAACGGCACGATGCAGTTGAGGACGAAAAAGGGCAGCCAGCAGAACACAAACACCCCCATGATGATGGAAAGCGTTTTTAACACCTTAGTTTCTTTCTTAAACGTGGTTTTCAGCGACTGCTCGCTCGCGCAGTCGTGCATGTGCCCGGCCGCCCTCTCCAAAGTGGAGATCCTCCGGATCTGCGTTTGCGCGATTCGGTAGATCCGCGTATATGTTCCTATCATGATTATAACAGGGATGTAAAAGCTTATAAGTGAAGATGCAATAGCATAAGTCCTGTTTAAAGTCGCAGTGCAGTCCTCCGAACTGAAAGTGAGGTTTAAGGGCGCGTTATGACCCTCAGCCCTGTGCCAGTTCAGTCTGACCGGAATGAAAGAGATCAGGACGGAAAGTGTCCACGCCATCCCGATCATTATAAACGCTATCCTCTGGGTCATTTTACGCTCGTAACGGAACGGGCTTGAGATGGCCCAGTATCTGTCCAAACTGATGATGCACAGGTTGAGTATAGACGCCGTTGAGCACATGATATCAAAAGCTATCCAAGTGTCACAAAAGCTCCCGAAGAGCCAACAGCCGGCCACCTCAGAGACAGCCTTCCACGGCATGACCAGAACAGCCACGAAGAGATCCGAAACTGCTAGGGATATGACGAAGAAATTAGTGACTTTGGATCGGAGGTGTCTGAATTTGATGACGGCGGCGCACACCAGCGTGTTCCCCAGCAGCGTGGAGAGGATGAGCGCGCAGAGAGCGCAGCCCGTCAGCGCGCGGACACCCACACCGGAGCTGTCCCTTTCAGCACCATCGCTCTCCATGGGGCTTCCTCTGGACCCAGATCTGATAGATCATATTCAAGTGGCTCCTCACGTCACAGTTTCTCCGTTTTCCAGTGAAGCTCTTTTCCGAAAGGTCTCGATGTCTTCTTTCTGCACAGTGCCACCGTGCTCCTGCTGAATAGCAGCGCGTAAGAGGGAATAAAGGGGCAGCGCTCTCTCTGCTGAAAATGTTGAGTCTGCCACAGAGAGAGAGAGAGAGAGGAGTACGACATAACCGAGAGTGAGTGCGCTCACTGAGTTAAAGAAAAGTCTAAAATAAATAGAAAGCATCTCTACCTCAATTACAACATGGTTCTATCTATCTATCTATCTATCTATCTATCTATCTATCTAATCTTATGGAAAATGGCTTGTTGTAGTTATTCCTCAACTATAAGTCGCTTTGGATAAAAGCATCTGCCAAATGAATAAATCTATCTATCTATAGATCAATCTAAAATTCTGTGCTCCAAACTCAAATTGATCATTGTATTTTTGTAGTTGTAGTGTGAACAAATGAACACAATGAAATCACATTAGGATACATCAAGTGAAAGTAGATTTTCTAAATGTCAAGCAAGCTGTCACACGTTTTATATAGTTCATAATAGTTATAATAGTTAATTTGTGTATTTTAGCTTTTACAAGTTATGTTGTGTTTCACAATAGCTTTTTGCATAAACAATATGTTGCAGTAAATGTTTTTCATATATATATATATCTGTGTGTGTGTGTAAAAAAATTGTTTTTTTATAATTTTTTTTTTTTTGTGGTAAATGAAAAATGACTAGTTTCGACCTGCTGTGAACAGATGTATTTGTATGTGAAATTTAAAGTTGTGAAGCACAATTTAATGTGAGATTAGCAAATAATTCTGCAGTTGTGCAATCATTTGATCTGTGCGTGTCTACTGTGTCTCTGTACAGTACATTATTTCTATGTGCAGCCTGCGTCATCTAAATGCATGTTGTTGAATATGTCCAGCAGGGGGCGCGTGGATTCTCCTGTCAGTATAGCGTCGAATGACGTCACTGGAATTTCAAGATGGCTTCGGATCACGGTCAGGATACGGTCAGCTGCCGGTCTGAGACGGGAAAGCGTTGATGTTTTAACGGCCATGTCTGTTAACTCACGATATTTGCGTACTCTTAATATTTACCCTGTTAAAATGTTGGAGGACGGTCTGAATAGGTGTCATGATGAAAAGAAGAGCGGAGTACAACACTGAACTGCAGCGCTTCGGCTGTCAAACCACAAGAGGATTTTGAACGAGATGGGAAAGACTGAGGATGAGCCTGAACATACATGTTTCCATCATATGAGAGATAGCAACAGTCTTCACTGGATAATTTAAAAGAGGAATACAGTAGAGGTCATTTGTGCCGCTCTCAGGAATTGGGCTGCGGCCGATGGGTATGTACAGGATGCACTTGCTGATATATTATAATGCGTTTTGACAGTAATGCATAATCTGTGTCTCAAACTTTGAGCTGGCTACTTAGACAGCATTTATAGGCTTTTTACACGCGTTGAATGTTCTGAATTGAATTTTTATCCAGACGCGCCTGTCATGCCTCAAAATGCTGAATCAAACGTTCCGAACTTGATGCTCATTTCATCTAAAGCTGAATCGAATGTTCGATTCAAACGCTACAAAATCGAATATTTGGTAATGTTCCAAACGCGGTTATGATGCCAAAAAACTCAATAGAATATTCTTAAAGTTATGATGTTAAAAAAAAAAAAACCCTCAGTGAACATTCGAGTCCAGTGATCCCCTAAAATGCTGAATCGAAAGCTTGGATGTAATGTTCTGTCACTCCCTAAATTACTAAATAGATCATTCTAAACGTGATTATAATGTTTAACAAAGCTGAATTAAATGTTCCAATAAAAAAATGCTTTTATGGTGTTCCATAAAATCTGAATTGGATGTACCAATTCAACGTTATAAATGAATAAATGCAACAAAATGTTGAATTATATTTTCCAAACGTAATTCTTGATGCTCAGCTAGGCTGCGGAATCAAAAATTCGAATCAAACGTTACAAACATGATTATGATGCCCAAAATGATTTATAGAATATTTCAAACGTTATGAAGTTGTTCATAAAATTTAATTTGAGCGTTCGAGTACAATAATGGCCAAAGTACTGATTCGCATACTCGCATTTGCGATTTTACTGAAGCGAACTTTCTGAAAGTATGCATGTTGTTCAAAAAAGTTGAATCAGATGTTCCAATTCAGTGTTCCAAATAGAATTATGATGTAACAAATTACGGAGTTGAACTTTTCAAACTTAATTCTGATGCTCAGCTAAGCTGAATCGAATGTTTGAATCAGGATACTGAATACTGAATATTCTAAACATTACGATGTTAAAAAAAACTCAACTGAATATTAGAGTTCAACAAGGCCTAAAAATGCTGAATCAAATGCTCAGATGGGATGCTCTATCATCCAAAATACTGCACTGAACATTTTAAATGTGATTATGAAGTTCAGCAAAGCTCATTTTTAAAATGAAACATTCCAAACTCTATCATGATGTAAAAAAAAATCTGAATTAGATGTTCCAATTTAACGTTCCAAATGGAATTAATGATTCAACAAATTACCAAATCAAACGTTAAAAACATTATTCTGATGCCCATCTAAGCTGCTGAATCAAATGTTCAATTCAAACGTTACAAACGCAATTATGATGCCCAAAATACCGAATAGAATATTTCAGACATTCTGATGTTCAAAAACTCTGAATTGAACAAGTCCAGTGATGCTTAAAATACTGAATCAGTGCTTGAATTGAATGTTCTGTCATGCCCCAAAATACTGACTCAAATGTCCCAAAACATCTATGATCTTTAATGCCTAAAATAGTGAATAAAACATTCCAAACGATGACCCAAAACACTGAATCGAATGTTTCAAACATGTCTGTCATACCCTAAAGTGCTGTCTTCTACAGTAGGTAGCAAAATATTTCACTATGTATATTTTCAAAGCACCCTTTTCAGATTGGTTTATTTTTAGGTTATCCTCCCAGTGGGGTCCAGAAGAGCAGTGTCATCTCCGAGCATTGTGGGCATTCTGTAGTTTCACCTGTGAAGCTGATGGTGGAGTCATCTTCCTCTGGAGGCAGGGGTGCCGAGGAAGGCATACCACCTCCACGCATCGCAGATGTTATAGACAGGCAGGAGAGCATAATGCAAGGCATGTTCTCCCATACTGGAACATCGCAGGGAGAGAAAGGCCAATTGCAGAGCATCCAGGACCACGAGGTTCCAGAGTCATGTGATAAGACCAATACCCAGCCATGTGGCACTAAGCTCCCAAATGGACATGGAGGCCACAGTGCACATAAATTGACTGAGTGGGACAATCCTAACTCATCTCTTCCTGCAGGAAGCTACTTGAATTCAGAGGGTGATCATGTGATTGCAAATGGAGAGCTCTCAGCAGGCTCTAGAGGTGGTGCTTTGGATGCTATTTCTTCTGTGCTACCACCCCAAGATGCAGCTGTAGACAGAACCACCAGCTCGGAAGACTGTTTAAATGCCCAAAATGCAGTGTTTAATGACACCAGAAGTTGTTCTGAAGGCGACCCATCTTTGGATAGGAACTCTTCAGCCAGTCCGTCAACTCCGAAACACTCTCTCAGGACGTTTTCCTCTAGCACTTTCCTCAACACTGACTCTGCTCGTCTCAGTCCGGATGATGACGAGACCTTTTCCACATCAGATAGACCTGATGACTCGATCTTCACGGACGTGAGTCTGAAACCCAGGAACACTTATGAGATCAGTCGGCGTCAGAGCGCTCCAGACAACATCCCTGGTGTGTTAAGTGTTGCTGTCGCAGATCTGACTCTCAGTCAAAGGAAACACGGCATCTCTGAGATCTTCAACAGGTATTATCATGCTATACAATTTTGCTTTATAAAAAATATTGCTTTAGCTAAATATGAGAAACACAATTCACAGGTACATATTATATTGTGGCTATCAGAAAGAAAATTAGATGATGTAGGAGTTAATGACAAGAGAGTTTATGATAAAAAAACAAAAAAAATCGCATGCCCATGTATTAATGTCATTGTATATGGTTTATACAACTTGATATATCAACAAGTTAAAAAGTGATAACTTTTTCTTTACACCATGAATACACATCTTAATAGTGCCTCTATTATGCCATTTTTAAGATTCCTAATATTGTTTTGGGAGTCTCCTACAATAGGTTTACATGCATGCAAGATCAAAAAACGCTTTAGTTTTCTCAAAATATACATTTTATATCACCTCATTTTCCAATGATTCTCAAACGATTTGTTCAAAGCAGTTCTAAGATTGAGTCTCTCTAAACCCCTCCTTTCCCTGAGCCTACTCTGCTCTGATTGGTCAGATTGCCCAGTCTATCGTGATTGGTCTACTGCGTAGAGCGCATGTCGTAAACGATACGCCTATTGCCATAGTTGCGTATTTTGAACACTCGATAGAAAATATAAACATCTGTAAACATCATTTATCATACAGGTTGTGATTCAGTGGAGCCAGCTGATCCAAATAAACTGGGTACTGATATTATGAAATATCTGATATTCCGATTCTGAAATACGTGCAAGTAATTCTATTTGGTAGTTTAAACACTTTTATGTCGATCGTGTTAGTTGATCTATACCGGGTGACGGGCGCCGCCATGTATAG